GGGGGACGAGCCGAGGTGCGAGCCAGGCCAATATCAGATAGGAACGGGTATAAATGTAACTGCTCCCCCGTGTTTCAAGTGCGACTTGTTACTATGTACTGGAAGAAGCTGCTTGTTACACTCGTGGATCTCCAACGACGCAAGTTTGACGACCTCCGATACACTTCAGTGCAATGGCTTCCAAATTAAAGATTGCCCTAGTGCAACTCCACTCTCACGTCTGCCACCCTTCCAACGCCCCTCAAGTATACATCAATTAATCCAGACGCACAGCCAACCGACCTGTCCAGCAATTTTAACCGCGCGGCTGAGTACATCCGCAACGCTGCCCAGGACGGTGCCAGTATTGCAGTCCTGCCCGAGTACCACCTCGCAGGGTTTTGCGAACAACTGCAGGATCCCGAGGCAGCCACACGGCAATCCGCCGAGTACCTGAAGCGCTACCAAACGCTGGCAAAGGAGCTGCATATCGGCATTGCCCCTGGGACGGTGCTCGAGCCCAAGACGCAGGGTGGAGTTGCCGGCGACCACACAGGACCACTGGCAAATGTAGCATACTTCATAGGCCCAGACGGAGAGCTGCTTGGACGTTATCAGAAGAAGAATCTGTGGCATCCCGAGCGGCCTCATATCGCCGCTGATACCGAGTCCCCGCACCGTGCATTCGACACGCCGTGGGGGAGAGTGGGTCTACTCGTGTGCTGGGATATAGCTTTCCCGGAGGCCTTTCGCGCTCTCATCGCCGACGGGGCGCGCATCGTCATCTGCCCATCATACTGGGTGGCCGGTGACGGCGGCGAGGGCCGTCGATTCAACAGCTCATGTGAGGCGCTGTTTCTACAGAACGTGTGTGTGGCGCGAGCATTTGAGAACGCCTGCGCCGTCGTCTTTGTGAATGCCGCTGCTCCACTGGGAAGCACCGACGGCAAGGATCTTCTTGGCAAGGAGTACGTTGGGCAAAGCCAAGTGGCGATGCCGTTTCAGGGTTCCCAGGGTACGCTTGGTGCTGCCGAGGGTTTGAGTGTCGTCGAGATAGAAATGGAAGCTCTGGATGTGGCAGAGGACGTTTATAAAGTTCGGCAGGATATGGCAACGGCTGGTTGGCACTATCCACTCGCGTACAAGACTTAAGAAAATGGCTATAAAATGATATGCGCTAGCTAATAACTGGCTCAGCCGAGTCACTTAGGTATTGGTCATATGCAACGACATCCACATGCAGGCAACTTGTTGATTTCCGGCTGCGCAAAAACTGTCCACCGTCGACGCCACATAACCACTGCATCCTCGTTCTTTCGACGAAAGTGGGGAGGTAGGAAAGCTGCCTCCCGGTTCCACCTCGACAGCTCGGCCTTGCGAAGTCTTGCAAGCTGCACTGGATGAGGCTTTCCACGGCGGTGTTCTCGATAGACTAGCTCAGTACGTCCTGTGCCCATCGGGACCTGAGCGGCCTCACGGCCGCTCGACGGGAAATACAGACTAAACAAAACAGTGGTCAACACCTAAGCTATTGCAATGGAATTGAGTCCATCAACTTAAAATGCAAGTTGAGGGGATTGAATTGATGCGTGTGACGTCAACTTCAACGAGATTGAAGACATTGAAAGTGGGAAATGATGACAAGCCTGAGCTGTATCAAAGTCACTCGCACATTACTCGATGGGTTGAGTAGGTGGGGCAGGCCCTTTACGCCCCCTCTCTCTCCAGGGGAGAGATGGCTGCATTCATCGTATCTTTGACGCCTTCGTATCCCTCTATCAGACCTTCAAATCAATATATCCTCATCAAACTTAAAGATATCTTCAAAAAATTAATTCACAGTAAAGTATAAGTATTATAATACGTGCTGTATTTTCTTTTTTCTATTTTTCTCGATATATGGTGGAATGAGGGCCGTTGTTCTTATTCCTGATACCTTCGCTTACGTCCCGGCGGCAATGTAATTCGCCGCCCTACACTAACAATAAAAGAGGCATCTTCATCGTCGTCAGAAGAAGACCACGATACATTCAAATGAGGATTCCTCGGCGTAATAAGACGATTATCGTCATCTTCACCATCTACCACTTCCTGCGCAGTAATTTCTTCCATAATCTTATCTATCACGGCTTCTTCTTCTGCCTATGATAAGCCCAGGGGCTAATGAGTGAAGGGTAGCGCAAAGGGGCTCGGTTGGCTGCGGTTGCCCCCTTCTAGGACAACTTGAACACTAGAGGAGTCACTCGAAGGTATAAGAGGAATCGACGAAAGCTCTAGAAATAGGTAGTTTCCCGGAGCCTCGGGGTCGGCTTGTGTATCTTCCGGGAGGTCAGGAAGTTGTAGCTCTTGAGCTACTCGCTCTTGTGCCTATGCCTCAGCCTCCCTTTTCCACTTAACAACTTCCGGTAGCATCATGAGGATAGGCAGAGGCCTTGTGTGATAAAGAGATCACTTCTTAAGGTCATCGGCTTTGTTCCATTGCTTAAGAAGCTGTGTTGCTTGGTCGTTTTCTTCTTCAGGGATCTGGCTGTTTAACTTCTCGCGATAGTCTTCTTCAGCCTGTTTCTTCGCCGCCGCCGCGGCCCTGCCTCGTAAGACCGGCTGACCGACACGGTCTTTACGAGCCTTTTCTTGTTCTTGCTTCTGGATATCCCTATTCATCTTCTCTTGGGCTCGGGTAAGCTCTTTTGCTTCATCTTCGTATTCCTCATCTGCTCGTGCCTTCACTTTGGCTCGAAGCTGACCCATGGAAAGAGCGCCATCTTTGACGCCTTGAATCTGCCGTCGGGTCTTCGTACGTCGTGCCTCACGGCTGATGCGCTCCTCCGTAAGCTTATGCATGCGATTCTGGGCCTGCCGAGAGATGATAGAAACGTCGAGTGCCGTTATCGCATCTTTCATAACGTTCGTTATGCTTTCATTGAAGATGTCCGTCTCCAGGACGGCCTGAAGCTAGCGTTTTGCGCGTCGGGGCGTCATCTCGATAGACTGGATCCGACCCGGAAAGAGAGGCTCCTTGCTGTCGGCTTCCTGTTCAATCAGGGGTTCTAAGACGATGTCTTCAGATATAGGCCAAAGGCCTGCCTTTTCGAACCTAACATAGATGTAACAGGCCCGGAACGCCTTCCGATAGATAACATTCTACATACAAAGGAAGTTATATCGAGATACCTGCATCCGTCCGCCATACACGTGCTCCAAGAGGTACTTTTCTTGCTGTGACTTTATATGCTGGTAAACACCAACATCAAGCGGTTATATGAGAGGCTTGCATGCGAGGGAAGCTTGAAAGGGATGATATCGAATAATTTGCAGTACCAGACGAATTAAGGGTCCTTATGAGTGTGAAATCTATCTATTATTAGCAGCCGAGGCACCCACTTTATGCGTTAACGATGGAACGAACGGCCTTTGCGTCGCTCCTTTAAAGTTGACTCCGCAATGTCATACGGATAGTCAAACCACTGCTCAATAGTGAAGCCGGCAAAGCTATCACTGTGGCGAGAAGACTACCAATTGAAATGTTGAAGCCACTGGAAGGCCCGGTCGGCGTTGTTATACCCAGAACTCGTTCTTGTGAGGATGATATCGTCGTTCAAAGTTGAAGCCGTATAGTCCTCGAGCAGGATGTTGGCGCTAAGGATGAGGAAGGAAGGGATTGCTTTGCCAGCAGCGCTAATAGCATCGACAGCCGTTAAAGATTCCTTATTACCCAGTTGCAAGATATAGGCCTTTTCGCCCTCTTCATCGTTGTATAGCCGAGCTTTCTGCTGCCTTTCGTGAAGCCGATTTGTAAGGGGGATTCGTTAAAATTCTAGAGGCTTTAAGGAAGAATATCATAAGTGCGAATAACCTTACGATATTCAGCAAACCATGCCTGTATCTCAGGTATCTGTAACTCCGCACCAATGCGGATAATTTCCTTGGGCTTCTCCTTCTTATAGGATATCTCGGGATACCTTTTCTTAAACCTTGAAAGCTAAGAAGAAGAAATAGGGCTAGCACCTCAAAGTCGGCGTAGATAATTGGCCTTGTTGGCATAAGCTTTAGTTAGGGCGAAAGGTGTGTTTTCTACCTGCAGATAGGTGATTATCGCCCTTTCTTCTTCGATAGAGATACAAGCGTTCATCGCGCCACCGGTGCTGTCAGACTCTGGCTTCGGTAGTCCTTTGCCTTGTTTTATGAGGCGGATATACTTCTTAACGAGGTGTTCGTCGGCGTGGTAGCGAGCGTAGGTTTCCCTAACTGTCAGTGTAGGTTATTGGAATGCGTTAGCACGCGTGGGACGCGTTGTTTCGCGACCTGCTACATACAACCGCGCCGCCTTTGCTGCATATCGACGTTCTTGCGATAAATTCGATATAATCAGAAAGAGCAACTTAAGGGCATTTTAATGCTATAATTATATATATTTTGGCTTTATGTTGGTGGAGTTAGGATGATTCGAAGGTCTGATAGAGGGATACGAAGGCGTCAAAGAGACGATGAATGCAACTTTCTCTCCAGGGGGCAGATTGGGGCGTAAAGGGCCTGCCCCACCTACTCAACCCCTGGGGGTGGTACTTTTAGTGCTCCATTTTAGCAGAAAAGGAGGTAAAATCGCACACAGAAAGATTGCTGTTGGTACAAAACCGGCAAAGCTTTCATCTGTGTATAAGAGCTGCACGGCTCCCGTGCAGCTTCACATGGAGCTCTTGCTCCTCAGATAATTCTCGTCGATTAACATGATGCCAAATGTGATCCTTGCGGAGCCAATTGTCTGACACACTGTCTATACCGTGTAACTTTAAGCGATACTGGCCGCTGCCACGACCGCCACCTTGGAGCACTGGGCAGTTCAGCAGCTCGCGCCATTCCAAGTTGAGGTTGCCGCCGCGCTAATCCGTAAAGTGCTCGCCCACACATGCTTATTAACTACGGAGCATTTATTTGGGGCCTGACATTTGTCTTCCCTAAACCGTAACTTCCCTCAACCACCGCCTGCACAGTTAAGACATGTTTGCAAACTTTGAGCTGTGGTCGGGTGGCATGGTCGAGCACTCGACCAAGGCAAGTCTGCCGCGATCCACAAGCGGTTGCATTCCCTGTAAGTTCCTTGACCCCTGCTCTCAGCGCAACTCGCCTACTGCCAACGGCGCTAATTACCTGTGACCAAAGGCCGCCGCACCAAGAAAAAGTGCGACGAGAGGCGGCCGGCTTGCGGGCGCTGTGTACGGCGAAGTCAAGGCGAGTGCACTTGGCCGCGGCCTACATCCTCGCCCTCCTCCGCCACGGGCCCAGATGACGGACAGCAGCCTCAGGATGGGAGAGAGGCTACTCTGTGCACGGTGAGGCCTAGCACCGATTCTGTGCTTGGCATATGTGCCACCATGCCGGGTATCCCACCTGCGTTTGCCTGGGAGTTGATGTGCTATGCCAACCGCGCAATTCACGGCGCCTACTTTGACGATCACTACTCCATCTTTATCCCCTTACTCCCGCTGCTGGCCGAGTTTCCCTCTTATGCTTACACATGGCTGGCACTAGGGGCTGCTCAACTAGCGCAGCAACTACCGTCCGCAGAGAACCCATTGCGACTCATGTCTCTAGAATACCACTCGCAGGCAATAGGCAGCCTGCGCCAACACCTCCACTCTGCCCCAGTGCCTCAGGAATGGGCCCTGTGCTCCATGCTGCTACTTCACATTTTCGAAAAGTTTGGGGACGGGTACCGATCGCCCTCGGATGCACATGTCAAGTCGGCGCGAAGCATCTTTCTCCGCCATTTCACCCATTCGCCTCCGAGAGACATGCGCCACATTCTACAGCTAGAGAGCCTGGTATACCGAGTCGCCATTACTAGCACTTTCCGGCTAGGGCCTATGTGTCACCTAGAGGAATACTCCTCCCTGGACGAGCTCCTCGATATATGGGCGTCGTCACCGATCACTTGTGGTTTGTGGCAACATAGCCTCTGGATCGGTCTGCGGCCGCCCATATTCAATGCAGTCTTTAAGCTATCAGTCCTCCTCCGTCTCGTGCCCCTCCAACCTTCCTGGAGGTCTGAGCTGGACAAGCTAGAAGGCAACTTTCGGCACTGTCTTGGGCCTTATGAGGCGTGGCCGTCGCACATGGGCGACCCAGATCACCCACCGGATAGCGGTGGCAGGCCTTGCTTGTCGCTAGCAGACCAGGCCCGCGCCGCACACTGCCTTTACGCTTATGCCTGCCACATAATCACGATCAAATTGCGGGATCCTGAGTCAACGCAGTCCGGGGATCAGATCCGTCGAGTATCCCGCCTCGGTTTCCGCCTTCTGGCGTACCTGGCAAAAGCGGGGTTCCTATCACCAGTGTTGATATGGCCAGCCGCCATCATCAGTCTCGCCGCGTCGAGTCCGGAGGACCAGGATATAGCGACGCTGTACATCAACGGTCTAGCCCACAAGTCTGGATCACGGGCCATTACATCAGTAATGCGCCTTCTGCACCTTGCATGGACGAGAACCAGTAAAGAATGGGCGGCCGGAACGAATATACTCTTTGACTTCGAAGCGCTCGGCGACGTTTTTATCTGAATGGCAATGAACTTGCATGGCTTTGGGCAAGCATGGGAGACCTTGAAGACAATGGACTATCTGTTCGTAAATTCAGGCAGGCTGCGGAGAACACCCGGTTCGAGGAAGCCTCTTATTTAAAGTCGGGAATTGACTGCGGATGGGCGAAGCTCGAAGAGACTATTACGTCAAAACGGATCGTACACCTGTCTATCGAGCCGCGCTAGCGCTTCACCCATC